TGTGTGTGTGTGTATGTGTGTGTGCATGTGTGTATCACTGAACGTGTCTGAGTTTTCTGTGTGTCTATCATTGTTTCTGTGTGTATACATCTGACTGTGTCTGGTGTGTCTGGGTGTCTGGGTGTGTGCATCTGCCTCTGTGGGTGTATCTGGGTGCCTGGGTATTATCCAAAAGGACTCATGGGGAAAATGTCTCTGGGCCCAGGCTTTGCAGCATCTGTTTTAATGCTGTCAGACCTCTGAGGCTGGTCTATTTGATATTCCAGGGGACAGGGCTGAGGACAGCCGCATCTGCTGAGTCATAAGGATGTGGACTCAATGTGTTCACAGTTGGACATATCTCCTTTCACACACACACAGAGGAAATTTCAGACAGGCTGGCTGACCCTGCATTCTTTCAGAAGGTCATGACCTCAGCCAGCCCCAGGAAAGAGTGGAAACAAGAATGCTCATGAGACCTAGAGGTTGGCAGAAGGCAAGCTGAGACCTTGGTGTTCTCTAGCTGGTTCCCCCGGGTCATGGCTTTCTCAGGCTATTCCAATAACCTAGCTGCTGGCTTTGAAACTGATGGATGGGCACTCCCTGGTGAGAGAGGAAGCCAGGGCAGATTGTCATCAGTGGTATAAACTGCAGGCCTCACCAAACTTACAATCAGTGCTGACCCTGGACGGCCCTATCAAACTATGAGTCCAGACTCTGGAAAATCCTTCTTCTCTCTCCAAACCGACCCACCCACAAATAAACAAAAAAGCACCGCAATGGTATGCATAGCCACAATGCAATCAAGTGAGCCTTTTAAGCTTGTCTGATTTAAACAGTAAAATGTCCCCCAGGGATGGTGGGGCAGGGAACCTCAGTCATAGGCTCTTTGATTGGAATGGGTTTCACAGGTTGTGGCCCAAGAGCAGATGGGGAAGGCCACGAGGGCATTTGCCCATTGGTGTGTACCTGGTAGGGCACCAGGGATGAGGAAAAGGTTTGGGCAGGGCACAGGGAGGAAACACGCACCTTCTGAGCATTGACCTGTGCCTGGCATGGTAGCAGACACTGTTCCCAAGGAGCCCAGGCTGAAGGTAAACCTGTAGACATTCAGCTGCTCCACAGATAACCTGCTTCCCCTAGCTAGAGGCTAGAGTCACAGGAGCGGAGGAGGCGAGGGACGGGACTGTGGGTGCCTCAAGGAGGGTTGGTCCTTCTGAGGAGGTGGTGACCAGAGGAGGGAGGTGGGCTGGCCTGGAGCCGGGAGGCCTCGCCACTGGGCACATCTCAAATTTAGACAGTGAAGGTCACTGGCCACTCATGTTTGCCGACCATCACAAGCCTCTGGTGAGGTCCAGCCAGCCTGTGGGCCATGTGGGTGGGATGCAGGGAAGTGGTTTGGTGGGGGGTCAGGTTCTCCTGGGAAGAGAGGGGCCTGAGAAGGTGGTTGGAATGGTCAGAACCTGCCTAACCAGGGACTTTAGTGACTTTGTAGATGCTCATCCAACCCCACTGAAGATGCCCAGAGGAGACAGGGAGCTCATGATCTCCTGGCAGGAGCCTTAAGGGCTGGTGTCAACTGTTCACGTTGTTATAAGTTCTTTCTCAGGTTCGGTTCAAATCTGCCTCCCAAAGAGCCATCTGTTATCCTGGCTCTGTCTCCTGAGATCACATCCATTTAACAAATATGTAGACAAAGATGAAAAAGACCGTCCTTGTCCTCAAGGAATCCACAGGCCAGTGACAAGGACAGCTGCTGCACAGGGCAGGATGAAATAGGGGCTGAGCTGCAAGCTGAGGGGAGAGTCCTTAGTCCTGACTGATGGGGGCCCAGGGGGCCATCTAGAGGAGGTGGCATTTGAGATGGGCTTAAAGGGTAAAGGGATCGGTGTATGTGGAGGGGGCTGTGACGTCCAGGCCAGGAACAGCTTGAGCAAAGGCACAGAGGCAGGAGAGAGCAGAGCATCTCTGAGGATGTGGAATGGCCTGGCAGGGTGAGGGCTGGTGTGGAGGGGAGCTGTGGGGGTGTTGGGGGCTGGATCACAGTGGGCCTTGAAGTCAGCACTGGGCCTTTATTCAGTGAGCAATGGGAGGTCCAGAGGTTTTGGGGAGACTCTCAGAGCTGTGGTTCCCATTAGTGATTCTCCAAGCATGGTCCTCAGCCAGCAACATCAGCATCACCTGGGACCTTGTTAGAAATGCAGGCTCTCAGGCCCCACTCCAGACCTGCCAAATCAGAAACTGGTGCTGGGACCTAACGACCTGCTTTAACAAGCCTCCAGGTGATTCTGATGCCCTGGTGTAGAAAACTATCCCTCAGAGCTGAGGTAGAGATAGATGAGATGGGGGGAGTCTGGAGGAGGGACTTCAGTTATGGGCTATTAGACTCAGCTGAATGAGGCAGCAGGCCTGGCCTGGGGAGGGAGGCAGGAAGTCAGACAGAGTTGAGCCAGCCCCTCACCTTCTAGCTTCGTGAACATGGGCAAGGGACTTGCCTGTCCTGGACCTCAGCTTCTGCATTTTCAAAAAGGAGTCACAACTGGAGAATGGTAGGAGATTTCACCAACAACAGCCCAGCTTGCCGAGGACCGAGGGGTTCTGTGGGACATGGGACTTTCAGTGCTAAAGCCAGGAGTGTCCAGGGCCAACTGGGGCGGTTGGTCACCCTATCTCCTATATGCGCTCAGAGAGAAGCACTGCTCAAGATGTTGATGGAGGGATGGGTGGAAGGTGGTCTGGCTGAGGAGCTCAAGGGCCATTCTTGAGCACTTTGGTGGCAGTGAAAATTGCTAGTCCCTCTTGCCACCTGTTTCTGGTGCCCACTAGGCCTGGAAGGAGCCCTTTCCACATGCTTCTGTCCTGGTCTGGCTCTGGGGACCAGCAGAAAGGGAGATGGAGCCCAGGCCAGTGGTAAGGGCTCAAGGTGGGCTTTCCCTGGCCACATCGCTGGCCCGGTGCCTGGGTCATCTGAAATACAATATGGCTGATGCCTCTCAGGCCCTGCTGATGCTGCCGCAGGCTGAAAATACCCAGCGTCCTGGCCTGGGCGCCAGGCTGACTCTTCTGGGTCAGGAGTAGGGGGAGCAGTTGTGGTGTCTGTTACCCCACTACTCTGGTCTCCACTGGGTTCTTGCCACTTTAGCCAGGGACCTGGCAGGGAGAGGGGATGGGGGAGGGGGAGGAGGATTGCAGTGCCCTCTAACCTCCCACCTTTCCAACAGGTTGAGTGTTTTTCAACAGGGACCTGAGGTATAAACACCAGACAGAAAGGTTACCCATAGAAGCTTTCTCAGAAAAGTGGGACGGCTTCTTTCTGATGATCCAAAGGAACTTCTCATGTCTAGCTGGTCCATGTGCTCATCCATGGACCAATAAGGGGGACTGGGGGTGGATTAGGGTGATTTGTTTAGGCCTGAGACCCAGGGCCTTAGAGACTGGGGTGGAGTCATCTTCCTCCAAAACTGATAGTGGGAACCTGAGGTGATTGCCTAGAGAAGGGGAACAGATGTTGGGAGAGGCCTAATGTCTCTCTCATTCTCTTCCCTTTCCTGCCGAGCCCTGCTTTTACCTGCTGTGTTGCTGGGATGCCTACTACTCATTCAGGGTTTTCTCATGAGCAAACTCTCGGGGATTCAAATGAGGTTCCCCGCTCCCAACATTGTACCCACACCGGGCCAGGGGCCAGTCCTGCAGCAGCCTGTAAAACCTGCAGGCCCTGCTCCTATCTATCCCTCTTCCCTGGAAAGCAGCTTCCGTCCCAGCAGGGGGTGCTGGCCTCAGGTGTGGAAACACTGGATTTGAAGTCAGGCCGGGCCTCAAGGTTTGAATCCCAGTTCTGGCACCTTCGTAAGCAAGTGACTTAAGGAACTGAGCCTCAGTTTTCCCTCTCGTAAAATGGGGACAACAGCATGTTCCTTGCAGGGCTGCTGTGAGGATTGAACACATGCGTGTAAGCTAAGTGCTCAGTACACTGCACTCAGAAAGTGGTTGTTTCTGCTCCTTGTTGATGTGTAATAAATTAATAAGAATAAAGACATGAATGAAACTGGAGCAAAAGGGAGAGGAGGATACAAACTCCTTGTAGTATTTCTGACCCTGGAAACCACTCTGGTGACTGCAAAACATGAGGTTGGCAGGTGCCTTAATGGGAATAAGGGGCCACACCTCATTATTATTATGATTAGTTGTGATATTAAGAGGCCAAGTGTTCTTGGCCTCTCCACACTGTGGGCTGGGTGTGTGACCCCCATACTCTGCACACTCTGTAAGCCGGAGTTAGTCAGGGAACCTCACTGCCCAGCCACAAGCCACACTCTACTTTCCACATACCTGGCCCCACAAAGCAGAACCCCACGCCCCGACCATGACCACCACCAAGTGCAAAGCAGGCTTGCTGCAGCAGTCAGTCCCCTTCTTACCTGTTCATGTCGGGAGCAGTTTGGATAGGAGAGGCAATAATAATAGTGGCCCCACTTGTCATGTGCCGGCCATGTGCCAGGTGATTTGCATATTTTATCTTGAGTCTCCACAACAATCCTGAGAAAGAGCTATTGTCTCTGTTTTACAAATGAGAAAAACCAAGGCTGAAGAGGGGAATGACTTTTCTATGACCACAGAGCTAGCAAACTAAGGGGGGAGTTTGGGTTCCAATCCAGTTCTATCTGGCTCCAAAGCCCAAGTGCTTTTCACCATGCAATGGGGAGAAGACCCAAGGGCCAGGTCAGGCTCACCCATTAGCTCACGTGGGACTGGGCAGGCACCTCCCCTTGATGGCTCTGTTTCCTCACCTATGAATCAGGTGATGCCCAAGGTCATGATTCTGTTCTCCTGGCGTCTGACTTCTTGGCAGTCCTCTGCTGCCATGGGTACAGAGCACAGCCAGGGCAGAATTGTGACACAAGTGATCTCAGTATTTCCCCATTTCCTCTTGTGAGGCTCTTCCTCTGCAGGCCAGGCTGGTATCTTCCCACTGACAGAGAGCGTTGAACCCAGTAGGCACACTTCCCAGGCTGCTTTGTCCTTTTCTCTGAACATTCCTGCTCACAGCCTCCAACGAACATTTTTTAGTCTAGTATCTTTATCTCCCTTGGGTTCTGCCATCTTTAAAAAAAACCTAGGAGGGAAGCTATGATGCTAATCTGAAGTAAGGGGTGAGGGGCTAATGGGCTCTTTAGTTGCAGTTTATCAGGAGCTTCTAGAAAAAATGTCATAACCCAAAAGAGCAAGCGGCCAGCTTAGTAACCTCATTAATGCCTCTCTGAGTCCCCTCAGCCCCCTGCACATTCACTGTGATGTGTGCTGCATTTGGCTCTCTCCCCACACTGTGTACTCCCTGAGGGCAGGGACCGGGTCATACTCCCCGGCTAAAGGAAGTGCTTGACGGAGCACCCAGGCCTACTGGGGAATGATTGGAACTGAATATGACCCTGCTGTGGGAACCACAGCCACTTTCTGAGCTTCCTCCTCATCTCAGCTGGGCCTAGAATATTCCTTGGTAGCTAAAGAAGAAGCAAGAAGGTGGAAGAAGGGAGGGAGGGTGTTTAGAAATACTAGAGCATACAGATTTCTTTTTCCTCAGTTTTCAATGCTGAACCCTTCCAGCACTATGGCCACAGAAAGCTCCCAAGAGTCAGGCCCCTCTTTTGGGCAGGAGAGCAGTTATCAAGAGTAACAAAAGGGAAGAGAATTAACATTTACCAAGTTCCTGCTATGCACAGGTGTTGTTCTAGATTTCTGTGCAGACGTTATCTGACTTGCACCCATTTGGCAGATGAAAAAACTGAAGACCTGAGAGGTTAAGCTATATGAGATAACAAGGCTAGTAGATGGTGGAGCCAGGGGTTGAATTCAGGTCTAACTTTCAAGTCCATGTGCTGTGTGCTCCTGTAGGCTGCCTGTAGGTGGCTCCTTGGGACACAGAGGCAATGGAGCTCTAGGAGCCGTGCCTCATTCCAAATTGGACCCAGACAAGCAGCACTGAAGGTCGACTGGAGCCACCCGCATCTAGCCTTGGGCATTGTGCCATGTTGTCTTCCTTCCTTGTCTCTCTGTATCTGCTAAGTATCCCCACAGATTTTTCAGAGGGATGTTTGGAATCTTGTCTGATTCAGGCCACCAGGTGGCGCAGCATAGCCCATGGGACCTTGACTCCTGGATCCAAGGCTCCCCAAGTTCTTAAGGATCTTCTGTCACAGGCAAGGATCCCCCAAAGAGGTTCTCGGCAGAATTCTAAAAATACAGGCCCAGTTCCTGTATTCTAGATTGGTTTTGATATTCTAGATTGGGTTTCTGGAATCTGCCATTTAAAAATTGTTTTTTTAAATTTCCTGAACTGGTAAAATATCATTCACATGGTTAAAAAATTTTAAAGCATGTAAAGCTATATAGAGAAAAATCTTCCACTCCCCAGGAAGTTTTCACTAATACTGGTTACTTGTGAACCCTTCTAGAGATTATACATATGTATATAATATTATATGCAGTCATCTATATATAAAAGCATATATGTAATAATATATAAGGATATATATTCTTTCCCATTTTTTACACAAATGGTTACATATCTTTGTATTAAATTTTTATTTTGTCATATTCAACTTCAGAATTGTGTACACATAAATTTTGTTAGAAGGAAAAAATATATTGCAGTCCTTCATTAAATAAGACTAGTTGACATTTTAAATCAATAAAGTGACTGACCTAAGCTATATTTTATTTGATCACAAACATATAAGATACGAAATGCATACATGCAACAAAAGAAGCAAAATGAATAATTTATTTTTTTTAGATTT